CTGTAACACAGGGGCTGCCTGGTCCTGTCAATCCCATCCAGCACTGTAACACAGGGGCTGCCTGGTCCTGTCAGTCCCATCCAGCACTGTAACACAGGGGCTGCCTGGTCCTGTCAATCCCATCCAGCACAGTAACACAGCGGCTGCCTGGTCCTGTCAGTCCCATCCAGCACTGTAACACAGGGGCTGCCTGGTCCTGTCAGTCCCATCCAGCACTGTAACACAGAGGATGCCTGGTCCTGTCAATCCCATCCAGCACTGTAACACAGGGGCTGCCTGGTCCTGTCAATCCCATCCAGCACTGTAACACAGGGGCTGCCTGGTCCTGTCAATCCCATCCAGCACTGTAACACAGGGGCTGCCTGGTCCTGTCAATCCCATCCAGCACTAACACAGGGGCTGCCTGGTCAATCCCATCAGCACTGCAATCCCATCCAGCACACAGGGGTAACACTGCCTGGTCCTGTCAATCCCATCCAGCACTGTAACACAGGGGCTGCCTGGTCCTGTCAGTCCCATCCAGCACAGTAACACAGGGGCTGCCTGGTCCTGTCAATCCCATCCAGCACTGTAACACAGAGGCTGCCTGGTCCTGTCAATCCCATCCAGCACTGTAACACAGCGGCTGCCTGGTCCTGTCAGTCCCATCCAGCACAGTAACACAGGGGCTGCCTGGTCCTGTCAATCCCATCCAGCACTGTAACACAGAGGATGCCTGGTCCTGTCAATCCCATCCAGCACTGTAACACAGCGGCTGCCTGGTCCTGTCAGTCCCATCCAGCACAGTAACACAGGGGCTGCCTGGTCCTGTCAATCCCATCCAGCACAGTAACACAGGGGATGCCTGGTCCTGTCAATCCCATCCAGCACAGTAACACAGGGGCTGCCTGGTCCTGTCAATCCCATCCAGCACAGTAACACAGGGGCTGCCTGGTCCTGTCAATCCCATCCAGCACAGTAACACAGGGGCTGCCTGGTCCTGTCAATCCCATCCAGCACAGTAACACAGGGGCTGCCTGGTCCTGTCAATCCCATCCAGCACAGTAACACAGGGGCTGCCTGGTCCTGTCAATCCCATCCAGCACAGTAACACAGAGGATGCCTGGTCCTGTCAATCCCATCCAGCACAGTAACACAGGGGCTGCCTGGTCCTGTCAATCCCATCCAGCACAGTAACACAGGGGCTGCCTGGTCCTGTCAATCCCATGCCTGGTCCTGTCAATCCCATCCAGCACTGTAACACAAGGGCTACCTGGTCCTGTCAATCCCATCCAGCACAGTAACACAGGGGCTGTCTGGTCCTGTCAATCCCATCCAGCACTGTAACACAGGGGCTGCCTGGTCCTGTCAATCCCATCCAGCACAGTAACACAGGGGCTGCCTGGTCCTGTCAATCCCATCCAGCACTGTAAAACAGGGGCTGCCTGGTCCTGTCAATCCCATCCAGCACAGTTACACAGGGGCTGCCTGGTCCTGTCAATCCCATCCAGCACAGTTACACAGGGGCTGCCTGGTCCTGTCAATCCCATCCAGCTCAGTAACACAGGGGCTGCCTGGTCCTGTCAATCCCATCCAGCACAGTAACACAGGGGCTGCCTGGTCCTGTCAATCCCATCCAGCACTGTAACACAGGGGCTGCCTGGTCCTGTCAATCCCATCCAGCACTGTAACACAGGGGCTGCCTGGTCCTGTCAATCCCATCCAGCACTGTAACACAGGGGCTGCCTGGTCCTGTCAATCCCATCCAGCACTGTAACACAGGGGCTGCCTGGTCCTATCAATCCCATCCAGCACAGTAACACAGGGGCTGCCTGGTCCTATCAATCCCATCCAGCACTGTGTAATACAGTCCTATCAATCCCATCCAGCACTGTAATACAGGGGCTGCCTGGTCCTATCAATCCCATCCAGCACAGTAACACAGGGGCTGCCTGGTCCTATCAATCCCATCCAGCACTGTGTAATACAGGGGCTGCCTGGTCCTATCAATCCCATCCAGCACAGTAATACAGGGGCTGCCTGGTCCTGTCAATCCCATCCAGCACTGTAATAAAGGGGCTGCCTGGTCCTGTCAATCCCATCCAGCACTGTGTAATACAGGGGCTGCCTGGTCCTATCAATCCCATCCAGCAGTGTAATACAGGGGCTGCCTGGTCCTTTCAATCCCATCCAGCACTGTAACACAGGGGCTGCCTGGTCCTGTCAATCCTATCCAGCACTGTGTAATACAGGGGCTGCCTGGTCCTATCAATCCCATCCAGCACTGTAATACAGGGGCTGCCTGGTCCTATCAATCCCATCCAGCAGTGTAATACAGGGGCTGCCTGGTCCTATCAATCCCATCCAGCACTGTGTAATAAAGGGGCTGCCTGGTCCTATCAATCCCATCCAGCAGTGTAATACAGGGGCTGCCTGGTCCTATCAATCCCATCCAGCACAGTAATACAGGGGCTGCCTGGTCCTATCAATCCCATCCAGCACTGTGTAATACAGGGGCTGCCTGGCCCTATCAATCCCATCCAGCAGTGTAATACAGGGGCTGCCTGGTCCTATCAATCCCATCCAGCACTGTGTAATACAGGGGCTGCCTGGTCCTATCAATCCCATCCAGCACTGTAATACAGGGGCTGCTTGGTCCTATCAATCCCACCCAGCAGTGTAATACAGGGGCTGCCTGGTCCTATCAATCCCATCCAGCAGTGTAATACAGGGGCTGCCTGGTCCTATCAATCACATCATGCACTGTAATACAGGGGCTGTCTGGTATGCAATGCCATGATAAGATACATTCTGTACTATGCTGTTACAATTATACCTGTATAATATGCTACATAATATATCTGTGCACTATGCTGTTACGAGTTATACCTGTATAATATGCTGTGTGTAAATTTGTAGTGAATGCAGAGTGTGTGTTAATATGTAGTGAATGCAAAGTGTGTGTTAATGTGTAGTGAATGCAGAGAGTGTGTTAGTGTGTAGCGGATGCAGAGTGTGTGTTAGTGTAGTGAATGCAAAGTATTAATGTGTAGTGAATGCAGAGAGTGTGTTAGTGTGTAGCAGATGCAGAGTGTGGAAATCTATTCACAAACCGGACTTTACATAGGACACAAGGCCATGCGTTTAGACTGGAAGAAAGGAGATTTCGTCTAAGGAAAGTTTTTTTTACTGTAAGAACAATCAGGATGTGGAATTCTCTACCTGAAGAAGTGGTTTTATCAGAGTCCATACAGATGTTCAAACGGCTACTAGATGCATACTTGCAAGAACAGAATATTCAAGGTTATAATCTTTCAATGTAGGGTAATAACTGCTTGATCCAAGGATAAATCTGACTGCCATTCTGGGGTCAAGAAGGAATTTTTTTCCTAGCTTGTTGCAAAATTGTGCTTCAAACTGTTTTTTTTTTGCCTTCTTTTGGATCAACAGCAAAAAACTAATGTGAGGTAGGCTGAACTTGATGGACGCAAGTCTCTTTTCAGCTATGTAACTATGTAACTATGTAACTACGTTAGTGTAGCGGATGCAGAGTGTGTGTTAGTGTAGTGAATGCAGAGTGTGTTAATGTGTAGCGAATGCAGAGTGTGTGTCAGTATAGTGGATGCAGTGAGTGTGTTAGTGTGTAGTGTATGCAGAGTGTATGTTGTATTAGTGTATGCAGTGTGTGTATTGTATTAGTGTATTAGTGTATGCAGTGTGTGTGTTGTATTAGTGTATGCAGTGTGTGTGTTAGTGTATGCAGTGTGTGTTGTGTTAGTGTATGCAGAGAGTGTGTTGTGTTAGTGTATGCAGTGTGTGTGTTGTGTTAGTGTATGTAGAGTGTGTGTTGTGTTAGTGTATGCAGAGTGTGTTGTGTTAGTGTATGCAGTGTGTGTTGTGTTCGTGTATGCAGTGTGTGTGTGTGTGTTGTGTTAATGTATGCAATGTGTATGTTGTGTTAATGTGTACAATGTGTGTGTGTTGTGTTACTGTATGCAGTGTGTGGTGTGTTAGTGTATGCAGTGTGTGTGTTGTGTTAGTGTATGCGCTGTGTGTCTGTTGTGTTAGTTTATGCAGTGTGTGTGTTGTGTTAGTGTATGCAGTGTGTGTGTGTGTGTTGTGTTAGTGTATGCAGAGTGTGTGTTGTGTTAGTGTATGCAGTGTGTGTGTGTGTTGTGTTAGTGAATGCAGTGTGTGTGTGTGTTGTGTTAGTGAATGCAGTGTGTGTGTTGTGTTAGTGTATGCAGTGTGTGTAAATGTGCAATGTGTAAATTAAATGTAAATGATATTCCCCCCTCCCTGCTTACCTGTGTCCAGGGAGGGGGGAGATTCCATCCGTGGTGGTCCGTGGGGGGCCCCCCGGCTCCCTGTTACCGCAGAGGGGGCTCAGGCAGCACAAAGCTTCTCCTCTCTTCTCTCTTCTAATAACTCTCGCAAGACCCGGTTACCATGGCAACGCTCCGCGGGTCTCTCGGGAGTTATTAGAAGAGAGAAGAGAGTAGAAGATGTGTGCTGCCTGGGCCCCCTCTGCGGTAACAGGGAGCCGGGGGCCCACGGCTGAACACATAGATCGCGATATTCGCTATCTATGTGTGCAGAGAAAGAAAGTGGGGCCCGGGACTGCCAGAGCAGTCCGGCCCCCCAGGGCCGCCGGGCCCGTGACAACAGTCATGGTTGTCGCCCCCTGATGGCGGCCCTGTACCTGTATAATATGCTACATAACATATCTGTGTACTAGGCTGTTACAATTATACCTGTATAATATGCTACATAACATATCTGTGTCCTATGCTGTTACAAATTATACCTGTAAAATATGCTATATAATATATCTTTGTCCTATGCTGTTACAAATTATACCTGTATAATATGCTATATAATATATCTGTGTGCTATGCTGTTACAATTATACTTGTATAATATGCTATATAATATATCTGTGTACTATGCTGTTACAAATTATACCTGTATAATATGCTATATAATATATTATTATTATTATTATTAATATTATTATGATATTTATAGAGCGCCATCAAATTCTGCAGCGCTTTACAATGGGTGGACGAACAGACATGTAGTTGTAACCAGACAAGTTGGACACACAGGAACAGAGGGGTTGAGGGCCCTGCTCAATGAGCCTACATGCTAGAGGGAGTGGGGTAAAATGACACAAAAAGGTAAGGATAGTATTAGACTAGTGACAGTTGCAGAAGAGGAATCAGTCAGGAGTTATTAACAGTTTAATTGATACGCTTTTATGAAGAAGTGGGTTTTTAAAGATTTTTTGAAGGAGTGGAGACTGGGTGAGCATCTAACGGAGGAGGGAAGCGAGTTCAACAGGAACGGTGCAGCCCTGGAAAAGTCTTGAAGGCGAGCATCAGAGGTGGGAGTACGGACAGAAGATAAACGTAAGTCTTCAGCAGATCGTAAGGGCCTAGACGGGACATACTTGTGTATAATGGAGGATAGATAGGTGGGAGCAGCATTATGTAGAGATTTGAAAGCAAGAACCAGAATTTTAAATTGAGCTCTATATTTTATAGGAAGCCAATGTAGGGACTTACAGAAGGGTGAGGCATGGGAGGTGCGGGCAGACAGGAAGATGAGCCTCGCCGCCGCATTCATTATGGACTGTAACGGCGCAAGATGGGAGCACGTAAGACCACTGAGAAGCGGATTACAGTAGTCAAGGCGAAAGAGGACAGTGGAATGGACCAACACCTTAGTCGCATCTGGCGTTAAGTAGGGGCGGATGCGCGCAATGTTTTTGAGATGGAAATGACAGGATTTGGTGATAGATTGAACATGAGGCTTGAAGGAGAGGTCGGAGTCAAAGAGAACACCTAGGCAGCGAGCCTGCGTGGTGGAGCTGATGGTAGCACCGTTGACTTGGAGGGAGACAGACACAGGAGTAACAACACTTGAGGGAGGAAAGACCAGAATTTCAGTTTTGGTCAAGTTTAGTTTAAGGAAGTGGGCAGCCATCCAGTTAGAAACAGCAGAGAGGCAGTCAGAGACACTAGTCAAGAGGGACGAGGAGAGATCAGGAGAGGACAGGTAGATTTGCGTGTCATCTGCATAGAAATTATATTGGAAGCCAAAGGAGCTAATGAGTTTACCAAGGGAGGCAGTATGGATGGAGAACAGTAGGGGACCAAGGACTGAACCTTGGGGGACACCAACAGAGAGGAGTTGGGGAGAAGAAGCAGAGCCAGAGAAACAAACACTGAAAGAGCGCTGGGAGAGGTAGGAGGAGCACCAGGAGAGAGCAATATCTTGTAGACCGATATTGCGGAGGATGAGAAGAAGCTGTTGATGATCAACAAGTGTCAAAAGCCGCAGACAGGTCAAGGAGAATTAGGATAGAGTAGTGACCACGAGATTTTGCAGCGAGTAGATCATTGGATACTTTGGTCAGTGCCGTTTCCACAGAGTGCTTAGCGCGGAAACCAGACTGAAGCAGGTCTAGCAGAGAGTTGGACTCGAGGAAGTCTGTCAATCTCGCATACACAATTTTTCAAGGATCTTGGATGCAAAAGGCAGTAGCGAGATAGGACGATAGTTGGATGGGGAGTTAGGGTCAAGATTGGGCTTCTTTAGAATTGGGGTTACAGTTGCATGTTTGAAGGGCAATGGAAATATACCAGAGGAGAGAGAGAGATTGATAATTTTAGTGAGAGGTGGAGAAAGAGAAGACAGAGTACGGATGAGATGTGAGGGAATTGGATCTAGGGAGCAGGTGGTGGGGCGGGAGGACTGGAGCAGAGCAGAAACCTCTTCCAATGTAGCGGGTGCGAATGAACATAGAACAGCAGAGGGAGTGAAGTTGGGGGAAGAAGAAAGATGAGATATCTCTTCTCTGATTGTAGAGTTCTTGTCAGTGAAGTGAGTTGCAAAGTCTGAGGCGGTCAAGTTAGTAGGTGGAGGAGGAACAGCAGGGCGAAGAAGAAAGTTAAATGTGTGAAATAGTTGTTTGGGTTTGTGGGAGAGTGTGGTTATGAGGGTATTAAAGTAATTAACTTTTGCAGAGGAAAGAGCCAAGCTGTTTGAGCTCAGCATAAATTTATAGTGGAGAAAGTCAGATGCACAGTGAGATTGTACTATGCTGTTACAAATTATACCTTTATAATATGCTACATAATATATAGGTGTGCTATGCTGTTACAAATTATACCTGTATAATATGCTACATAATATATCTGTGTGCTATGCTGTTACAAATTATACCTGTATAATATGCTACATAATATATCTGTGTGCTATGCTGTTACAAATTATACCTGTATAATATGCTACATAATATATCTGTGTGCTATGCGGTTACACAAATTTTACCTGTATAATATGCTATATAATATATCTGTGTACTATGATGTTACACATTATACCTGTATAATATGCTATATAATATATCTGTGTACTATGATGTTACACATTATACCTGTATAATATGCTATATAATATATCTGTGTACTATGTTTTTTTGCAAAATAGTGAAGTATTACAGAAATTTGTAATGATAAAGAGAGAAACTCCTGAAAGCTTGTCACTATAAATTTATGTTAGTGCAATAAAAAGTTATTTAAAAATACTGCAATACTTCATTATTTTGCATCTCCATTACTAGACTAATACGGCAACTCAAATGTCACGACTACTATGGTATAATAACCCATACATCTGTATACTCTGCTGTTATAAGATCTATTTTTGTACAATGTTACAATTAGATGTATCAGTATACTATACGTGTATTTATATATACACTATATGGACAAAGGTATTCGGACACATGGCCATTACGTCACTAGGGACTTTTATGAAACTTTCTAAATACATAGACATTAATATGTAGATGGTAATCCCTTTGTAGCTATAACAGTTTTCACTCTTCTGGGAAGGCTTTCCAAAAAACTTTGGAGTGTTTCTGTGGGAAGTAGTGATGTCCCAAACTGTTCGCCGAATGGTTCGCGAACGGTTCGCCACGAACGGTTTGCCACGTACTCATCATTGAGTAAACTTTGACCCTGTACCTCACAGTCAGCAGACACATTCCAGCCAATCAGCAGCAGACCCTCCCTCCCAGACCCTCCCACCTCCTGGACAGCTCACTAAGAATGCAGCTTCACAATGAATGTAAAATGGATGCTGTCCAGGAGGTGGAAGGGTCTGGGAGGGAGGGTCTGCTGCTGATTGGCTGGAATTTGTCTGCTGACTGTGAGGTACAGGGTCAAAGTTTACTCAATGATGAGTCCGTGGCGAACCGTTCGTGGCGAACCATTCGTGAACCGTTCGGCGAACAGTTCGGGACATCACTAGTGGGAAGTTTTGCCTATTCATCCAGAAGAGCATTTGTAAGGTCATGCAGGCACTGGTGTTGGATGAGAAGGCCTGTCTTACAATCTCCATTCTAGTTCATCCCAAAAGTGTTAGATGGGTTGAGGCCAAGACTCTGTGTGGGCCAGTCAAATTCTTCCACACCAAACATCCCAGAGTTTTGTGCTCTGAGGCAGAGTTATGCTGGAATAGAAAAAGACCTTCCCCAAACTTTTCCTTCTAAGTTGGAAGCATAGCATTGTCCAAAATGTCTTGGTTTGCTGAAGCATTAAGATTTCCTTTCACAAGGGCACAACCCCTGAAAAACAGTCCTATACAATGATCCTTCCTCCACCAAACTGTACTGTTGTTGTAGTCAGGCAATGTAATGTTCTCATGGCATCCGCCAAACATAGACTCACCCATCAGACTGCTAAAAAGAGAAGCATCCTGAGGAGTCCAGTGTTGGTGTGTTTACATGACTTGATCCAATGCCTGCCATCGTACTTGGTGACGTGAGACTCGCACAGCACCTGCTCGGCAATAGAAACTCATTCCATGATGCTCCCGCCACACAGTGTGCGTGCTGATAATGCCAGTGGAAGTTTGGAACTTTTCAGCTATGGAATCAGCAGAGCCCTAGCAACGTTTCCGAACCCTGCGCATCAGCACTCAGTGATCCGGCTCTGTGACTTTATGGGGTCTTCCGCTTGAATAATACCACTTACAGTTGACTGTGGAACAACTAGCAGGGATGGAATTTCACCAACTGACTAATTACAAAGGTGGCATCACAGTACCATGCTTGAATTCACCCAACTCTTCAGAACAACCCATTTTTTTCACAAATGTTTGTAAATACAGACACGTGACAAGGTGCTTGATTTTATACACCCGTGGCAATGGGTCTGATTGAAACACCTGAATTCAATAATTAAGAGGTCTGTTTCAATACTTTTGTCCACATAGTCTGTATACTATGTATTTACATAATAATATGATATATATCTATAAACTATATATAGTATATAAGATAAACCATGTATTGCTGTATTTGTAATGTATATGTAATTTTATTTGGTTGACTTGTAATTAAGGCTTTTTAGAAGATATCTTGTGCAGGACTTGTAACTAATTCATAATGGTCCATAGAAAAAACAGATAGATAGATAGATAGATAGATAGACAGATAGTATATAGATTAGATAATAGATATCTAGATAGATAGATAGATAGATAGATAGATCATATTTGGTAAAATTGCACAGGTGATATAAATGTGCATTGGAACCTAAGTAAAAGAACCCGGCATCCTCTAACAATGTATCTGGAGCCTGCTACACTCCCCATCATGCCCAGCCAGCCAGAGAAGGCTGTATCCCCAGCAGCTGGAGTGGCAGATGTTGCAAGGTTTGCTGACAGGCCTGCATCCTGCTGATCTTTAGATGTTCTCCCAGAGAGCAATCAATTGATCGGATCCTGAGGGGGTTAGCCATAAACTGTCCGCAGCGGGTAGGGGTCAACAATGGGAATTAGGAGACATAAAGGTCCCTGTCACAGCCCTCCCTCTACTTAAAATCAGTGGCACTCACTTAGGCGGGAGATTTAAATCTTAATTTCTGGATATCCTCACCTGCAACCAGGATAATGACTAATTACTGTTAACGAGATTGTGTTTGCAGCTGATATGATCGTTTGTTTGTTTGCCAAGTTAATCCTAATTAATTTCTTCTCAGATCTGGCTTGAACAGAGGTCTGCAAGTCTTTTGCCCAAAGCACATATTGTCTATATTACTGCACAGAGCTATAAATCCTCATCTGTTCCAAGACTGGAGGGGTGTTACATTAACTCTCTCTGTGCCAGAGGGGAGTGTCACTGTATCTGAGCCTCAGAATAAACATTAATTCTCCCAGTGCCATAGAGGAGTGTTACTGTATCTCATATCGTTTC